TTTCGGCTTCACTACTGCCGATATGTGTTGCAGTGATATCACGAGCTTTGGGGTATAACACTACTCTCTATAACAGTCAACAGTGGTGACAACACTATTATTAAGTAAAGCTTGAATAGCTTTGGTCTTGAATATCAGTGAGTTGCATGATGTATGGATATTGTCGCTGTATCGCCTCGACATCCAAGCCACCACAGCTTTAGCTGTGCTCAGCGACATTTATTCTCGGGTCAGGCATTTTCACCGCCTGGCAATCATCATGGTGAAACAAAGACCAATAAATTCTCAGAAAACGGTATTTTTGGAATGGTTGTTGTCACCCCCTACATCATGTAAAACATATTTAAATTTGGTTGGATTTCTTCAAAGTTAAGTTTGTGCTGTTTTCTCGATTTTAGCTATTTTCACCGGCTTTTTGGTCAGTGCACAGCAGCTCGCGCAGAGTCCATAGAAATACATGGTAGAGTGGTGCGCGTTTTGTGACTTAGCTCCGCCTCGAAGATTTTGATAGCTTGGCCAAGCGCGTTGAAGAAAGAAGTTATATGATTGGCTGTGTTGTTAAACTGATTCTAAACTGTAAGGGCATTGTCACATACACATAGTCCTAATGAAATACTTCAAGGTGATAGTGGAGTGCTTCGCCGGAACATTCACCTTGAAAATTCAAGATGTCCTGATTGGAAAATTAGTTCGTTTGAAATATCAGCATTTATGATGCATGCTGCCCTCTATGTTCTGTCGGCGTCTATGTGTTTTCGTTTTTCGTTGAGCTTATATTAGTGTTTATGTAAAATAAATGAAACCATGGAAATGAAATGCTAAAAAAAAAAGCATATTAAGAAATTCAAATTTAACAGCATAATAGAAACGTCTATTGACTAAATGACTTCTCCGGGATATACTGCAATACAATCCGTTGTATCACATCATTTGGTACACTTTGATTAAAATCCGTAAAAGCGTTAACACAACCTGTATTTCACCAAATGTGTTGTACTACTGTGAACGATATTGATGTATTTATATTTTGGATGTAGTGGTACTTGAAAGCATTCCGTGTTTGACAATGACGTTTCTAGTTATTTGATTTTAGGTAAAAAAAAAAAAAAAAAAAAAAACCTTAGCATAAAATAAAATGCCATTGCTACGCACTTTCCTCAAAATGTCATATGGGGATGATTCTTGAAATTAGTATTTAGTTGTTTTTCGCTAATATCTGTTTATTGATATTTTCTTTTTATATAGTCTATAAACAAATAAAACATGAACCAACATTTTATGTGTATATAAATGCTATCGAAATTACAGTCACATACACAATCATTTAAACATGGGCATCAAACTCAAAATACCACTAATCCAAATATAACACATGTATTATGAGAATATCACAGAATAATTAATTTAATACTGGCCATAGACAATAGTGGCATCAATGCCTTTAAAGACACAACACGGATTCCACATTAACCTACAACCATATTAGAGGATAACCAGTTTATTATATGTATATGTTTATTATATGTATATGTTTATTGTATGTATATGTTTATTATATGTATATGTTTATTATATGTATATGTTTATTATATGTATATGTTTATTATATGTATATGTTTATTAAAATTGATAAGAATTTATGAGTTCAGATTCCAGCAACATGGCAGCAGTAAACGATATAAAGCGTTATTTTTGGGGAATTATCTATATATCTTTGGTAACTCCTTTTTTCAGTTGACTTTTGAATTAGGGCCAGATAATCAGGCCTATGACTAACACATATAATTCCACTTGTTCAAGATACTTGGCTTTTTCTCAAGTTGTGATATACGTGCTACTATTACCGTCTACAAATTGGCCTAGTCTGTTCGATTTAGTTGTGTGTGGCTATGTCTCCACGAAATAATATTATATACATCGAATCTAAGTACAATTACGTCTGGTTGGAATTTACGCTAGCTCCGGATGTCATCTCAAATGATAAGATGATATTAAATTTTGACGTGCCCAGAACGTTTTGAAGATAAAACTGATAACATAATAGCAAATATCTACATCGAAAACGTGTATATCACTACAAGTAATATATTCCATCATTTGTCAGCGAGTTGGTGGTCGTATTTACTACAGAAATGCACGTAGATGCAATTACATGGCATATTTTAATAACACACACGTATGACGTAGTGCGAGAATGTCGTGATAATGTAAAAGATAATAATTCTTCAAGGCTTCTGTGGATTGTTATTACGATGGATTCTGTTGCGTGATATCGCTTGATATTTAATTGCGACACATTGTTTGCACAATACGACAAATACATAGCAAACAAACATAATCCCATGTATATCAAGTAATTATATAAACTTACAATAAATTAAAAAAATCGAAAATTAAACATTCATGGCACAATTTGAGCCAAGCAGTGTCATTCTACATATATTGGTATAAGCCTGTAAACAAATATGTACACGTACAACGTTTGGTTATTGATAAATATTAATAATTTATTTATATATCATTTCATTCCCTGCCACTAAACCTGTATACAAGGTACCGCAATCTAACAATATAATGTCATCCAATTTTCATTTTGTGTGTGAAAGCAATTGTGCAGGAAATGGGATGTAGAAAAATAACCACCTACTGATAAACTGATAAACTAATAAACGTCTGTCAAATTCTTACAACTCATTTGAGTTTGCACAATTGCTATGTGCAATCACGCTCAGTTGTTGTCATTCTTTGGATCTGTGTATACTAATACACACAGCCCTGCTTGTACGCAATCTGGCAAATCTCATCTGAGAATTCATCGGTTCTATAACTTTTCTTTAATGGTTTTTTAGTAATTGTTATTACATTTGTTGTTAT